TGAGGTGCAGAAGCTTCTTAGTTTAAGATAGTTCCATTTGTCTATCTCCCACAGGATCCTTTTAGATTTGAGGAAAGACAGAAGCATTTTCTTCTTCTGAGAGAATATTCCCTATATACTAATGCACTTTTTTATCCATTGAACTCCCTCATGTTATCATCTGAAAACCATGATATCTGCCTCAGATCCATATGAAGCCATTGGAGGGGCAACTATTTAGGTATTAGCAATTAAGGTCAATCTTAGGGTAACTGAAGCTCAAATTAGTCAACATAACAAATGTCCAGTGTTGTATAAGATCCACCTACATTATTTGTGTTTTGGGGTTTAAACCACAATTCATTGCAGACATGCCTCTTTGTGTGTAAAACCCAAATTCTAATCCCATGAGGGATAAAATTTTTAGTTAAAATTTAAAATAAAATCAGCCACACCCTTATAAAGCATGCTATGGTTTTCACTCTAAGTACTTGGGTTTTGTTTAAAGTTGTAGTAGTTTCTTGCTTATCTACAGTTGTGTATCCAATCTCCTACTCTTATCCCTCACTCATATCCCCTGAAAGGGAAAACCATATTCCTTGCCTCTGTATCTAAGCCACTTATATCAAAGGGGTGAATAATTGAACTACAATGTCTGACTATACCACCCAAGTGATCAAACTAACTTCAAGAATTATTTAAATGTGAGGAGGCATTAAATAAAGCTTTAAATCATTTCATTTCTTACCCACATTAGAATATTTCCCCTAACCTCTTAAAAACCGTAATAAAACTTGTCATTTCTCCTTCAAAATTCTTTAAGTTACCGATACTAATGTAGCTTGAAATGGACTTTCTTTCTAACTTCTACAAAGGATCTCTGGGCAGATTCCTTTTGGAGAGGGCTCTGTCTACAGCCTATAACTTCAGCCGCTCTCAGCAGAAAGTAAACAGATAACCCATTTGACCACAATCCCCTGACAAACATGAGTCCCCTGCTAAAAAGGAGGAATTATGTACTAAGACGGGTAGAGAAAGTAAGGTGTGGTCAGACTGAAAGAAGAAAGATGGTAGAGAAAAAAATCATATGTATTTTTCATGAGGATAGGACAGAATGTGTCTGTTAAACTGGATAATCTCAATGACCTCACCTAGTAGATAATCATCTCAACATCATAGTCATGTTTTTTTCAGCTCTTTTGACTTAAACTCATTGAAGAAAGAAAAGGTTTTGCCTTTAATTTGAATGCTGCCATGGACATCCCATCAATAAACCAGGAGTTTCCCCCAATTTCTTTCCCTCCTCCTTCCCCTTCTCTTAAAATCTTTTCTAAAATTAAAAAAAAGTATGTTTGCTTAAAAACTAAAATAATCATTTTTCACATATCTTAAAATCACTTTCAGGGTACAGAGATATTAAAGGAGTTAAGACTTGCCTTGCATGAAGTTGACCCCGGGTCAGTTCCTGGCACCATATATAGTCCCTCAAGTATCAACAGCAAGTTAAAGTGAGTTTTCTCTTTCCAAGAGCTAAGAGGAAGCCCTAAAAAGTAAGTTATGAACCCCAGTCCATAACATGCATTTTTCAATGTAATACAAAGTTCTTTCCTGTATTTTGATGTTTTTAACTCCATATATTTCATGTCAAAAACATAATGTAGAGGGGCCAGATGGATAATATAGTGGGTAGGACATTTGCTTTGCATTCAGCCAACCTGCGTTTAATCCCTGGCACCCCATTTGTTCCCTTCAGGTTACCAGTAGTAATCCCATGAGCACGAAGCCAGGAGTAACCCCTGAACACTGCCAAGTGTGGCCCTACGACAAAAAAAAAGTAATGTAGAAAGAGCTGGTCTTCAAGGCCATTTCAGCTGAATATAAAAGCATACTTTGTGGAGAATACTGAATTATTCTTCCCATACAAAAGGAAGAGAACAGAATTATCTTATATATTTCAGCAATTTGTATCACTATAGAGAGTAACTTACTGAACCAATTTCTGAATAATGAAATGTTTGTTCTGATAAGGGACAAGTGGGCAAGAACATTTATAATGGGAGGCATTAGTTAACAGATTTAATAAAACTTACATGAAACACTGTTATTTTCTAAACAAAGAGAATTGTTAGGTAACATTTGCTGTATTTTTTTCTCCGTTAGGGGTAGTTAATATATATGTATATATATATATTTATAACTTTGTTACTGCTTTCTAATATTTACATTTTAAAAAGGTTCCCACAATACAGCAGTTCCGTGAATATATGTTAAAAGCAAAACTATTTCCTGTGACTATTATACTATCAATACAAATAATAAAATAACTTGAAATTATTTGGCATATATCTTAAAACTTACTTCTATTTCAATGTAACTTAAGTTTCTGATAGTTTATTTTTGCATCCACTCCTTTAGAAAAATTTACTCAAGCTATAACCCTCAAGAAACACATTAAAATAGCCACAGATAGCTCAAATGAAACTAAGTGTTCATTTTATCATTTTAATGGGATAGAATAAGTAAAATTTTTCTACACCAGAAAACTCATATAATTAAGAGAAGAAATTCCAAATATCTATAGTCCAAACACTGCAATAAATTACACTAATTAACTTGATGCTTACACATATACATTAAAAACTGAAGGAAGAATGAATTCAAGGTGCATCCAATTATGCTGTTGCCTACATTCCAGGTTGGTATGTGCAACTGGCTTTATTATTTTGTGGGATACCCTTAATGCTCTTCCGTGTGGAAAAGCCTACATACTTTCTTGAACATATTTCTTTATTCCATCATCTCCCTTCTTATACTCCCTAAATAAAGCTAGCTCCTTTAAAAAAAAGAAAGAATTCATGAGGAAGAGAGAAGTAAGACATATATAAGAAAAAAATTACTGAAGGAAAGACAAGAAGAAAAAAGGGATACATAATTGAATAATAACAAAAGAAACTAGAGTGAAAAGTAAAATCTTAACATACTTGTTATGAAGGGCACACTTTAACGTATGATACTGAGGTATTATAAAATTAAATCCAAATGTTCATTACTCATTAGAAAACAGAACTAGGTAATAATCAAAAGCAGTGCTATGGGACTAGAGAGCAAGAACAGCAGTTAAGGTGCATGCTTTTCATGTAGCTAACCCCTGTTCTATTCCTGGCATCCCATAAGGTTCCGCGAGCATCCTCAAGAGTAATTCCTGAGTGTAGAGCCAGGAGTTACCACTAAGCATTACCAGGTATGGGCGAAAAAAAAAAGAGCCCTGTGAATTATTTGATATCTATTATTATATGATTTCTTTTAAAAAGCACTGGTTCTGGATTAAATAAACTATACTGACCTGTTAAATACATATATAAATCATATTTTCCTGTTGCATGTCTTATATTTCTTGTTCATAAGTTTATAAAGATTCTAACTATTCTTCACTCCTAAGATTAATTTCAAAGGTTTAAATGTAGAATATATATTATAATCCAAAGCAGAAAACAATATGACACAGCTATTCAACCAATTAACCTTAAGGTAAATGAGACTAAAGTAAAATTTATTCAACATTTCGACAAACTATTTCTTACCTTTGACAAAACATAGTTTGTTAAACAAAATGAGACATATCTTAAGAAATTTACAATAAAATTTTGAATGCCCTGTAATAAAAATCATATATTGTAAAATCTCAAACAGAACTCATTATATTTGCTTGAGCTTTCAACTTAAAGATTCATACTTCATCTTTACATTGAAGCAGTACATTTAGAAATTTAAAACTTCTATCATTAAAGTATACTGTTCCAAATTCTCTGTAAAGACCTCATCTTCATTTTATGTTTTGACTTTCTGATTAATAAATACAGGATTTATTATTTAAAATATAAATAACTTTTTGAGGCAGGATTACTGAGCATAATGATATTAAATCCATGTAAGTTCTTTCATATACTGACTTCTCCTTTAGTAATGAGTAGCATTCTATTGCAAATGTGCATAGTTTATCCATTCACCTATTGAAGAATATTTCAGAACTTTCCAGTCTTAGAATATACAGGTAGAGATACAATTAAAATTCAGGAATAGGTTTTTTTGTGCACATAAGTTCTGATTTATCTATAATAAATGCACAGGAGGGGTGTGAGTACTCTAGATTCTGTGCTCCCAATAAAGTAATAAAAGTGGATATACAGAACTGATGAACAGTTGCCAGGACTTAAAAAAGGAGGAGAGAAAACCTGATAATAAATGAACAGCATCAGAGTTCTTCTCTGGTTAAGCAAAATCAAAAAGTGGTATTTAAATATACATATATGATGAAATGTTATAAAAGTATAGACAAGACAAAAGAAGACATGCAAAAATCGGTAAAAAACTTATATATAACCCAATTAGTTGTACTGCAACAATTTCCGGAATAATAAACAGAAAGTCATATATAAGATGTTACTATTGGGAGAAGCCAATAATGTATAATGGCTACACAAGACCTGTAGATATAAATTTTTAATTCATTGTGATTACAAACTATTTTAAAATAAAACATTTTACATAATGTATTAAGAATACTTTAACAACCATGTCCTGCAAAGATTAGTGTAGTGTATCAAATATAGGAGAGTCTAATACAAAACAAAGTAAAATAAAATATACTTTACATACAAAGAAAAAAATGAAACACTCACTATGAAGCACTTGGTTTAAGAGTTTAAACAGTATATTTCAAAATAATGTTTCAATCTATTTTTAAAATACAATGATGTGTTTTAACCAAGAAAATCAAATTTTATTTCTTAATGAGAATTAGCTGCTGCAAAATATTTTGGTATTAATATTATGACATATTAACTTATTTCATCTACATTTGAGATAAACTTTAGTTCATTAAGGAGATTAATAGAAGAAAAATTAAATGAAGAAAGATGTAAAAGAAAACAGGATTAGACATACAATAAAACCAAATATATATATATATACATAATAAAATGGGTCTAAGGTAGAAAAGAAATTGTAGTCATTTAGCATACCTGTTAACTTGATATGTCCTATTTCATCAAGCAAAATGCTGTAAATCAAAATTCACATTCAACAATATGAAATAAAATATTTTATATACAACATTTATACAAAAATAAATTTATACAAAAATATATATTTGGAATAGTTCAGTAACAGGTACTGAGACATTTTTAAATATTCATATGAATTGATATGTTATAAAGATATTTTTATAAGTTTCATAAAATGGAATAATTCATTATATTTTCAGGTAATCTTTTTTTTTTGCTTTTTGGGGGTCACACCTGATGATGCACAGGGGTTACTCCTGGCTCTGCACTCAGGAGTTACTCCTGGAGGTGCTCAGAGGACCATATGGGATGCTGGGAATTGAACCTGAGTCAGTCGCGTGCAAGGCAAACGCCTTACCCGCTGTGCTATCTCTCCAGCCCCAATTTTTAAGTAATCTTTGAAAGATTATATGTAGAATGCCAAAAATAGTAAAATAAATATTGATAACAGAGATACATAAGAAAAATATAGCGTTACTTTTCAGGCTTTAGGTCTCTATATACAATTCCTAATTGATGAAGATGATCCAAAGCAAGGGCCAGTTCTGCAAGGTAGAATTTCACATCTTCCTCTGTAAACAGAACCTAAAATAAAATAATAATTCACCATTTGATAGTTTTCAAGATTATTATTTTAAATGTATTACCTTACAAACTGTGAGACAAATACAGACAAAGATTAGTGGATAGATGAAACTACACTCTTTAGAAATGCTTTAATTTTAATTTAGTAAATATTATCATCTGGTGTGCGCTATATATTTGTTTTTTAATATTATTTTAGACGCTGTACTTTACAATTTTACATACAATCAAATGTATTGTTTTATACATTGAAAATTCCAACAGAATACCTACACAACTGTGTCTGCTTCCCTCTTCGATTTTCTCTGGGCGCCACATAACTCCCAAACCTCCACCCCCTAAATCTCTCTCTCTCTCTCTCTCTCTCTCTCTCTCTCTCTATATATATATATATATATAGGCAAAATGAATCCAACAGTACATCAAAAGGATCATATGTCATGGCCAAGGAGGATTTACCTCAGGAAAGCAAGAATAGTTTAGCATACAAGCCAATCTATGAAATACATCATATCAATATAACAAAAAATAAAACATATGATCATACAAATAGATCCAGTACCCATTAATGCCTAAAACTCTCAAAAAATGGGAACAGAATGAGCTCTTAATATGGTCAAAGCCATTAACCAATAAGCCAAAGCTAATATGTTCAATATGAAAAAATTGAAAGTCTTTCCTCTAAGATGAGGCACAAGATTTTCACTCTGATCATTATTACACAATATAGTTTTAGAAATCCTTATCATATCAATTAGGAAAGGAAAGAATTAAAGGAATCCATATTAGAAAATAATACATCAAACTACAACTATATGCAGGCAATATGATGCTAAGAATAATCTAAAGACTCTACCAAAAAAATTCCCAAAAAACAATAACCCTATACAAAAATATGTCAATTACAAAATCAACACACAGAAATTCATAGTATTCATACACGGAAACAATGAAACAGGAGAGGTTATTTTTTCAACATCCTTTTTACATCTGTGCCCCAAAATATCAAGTGCATTATATATTTTTACACTAAATGCACTGCACAGGATTTGCTTTTATAAATTACATTAATCTTAAAACAATTGTTTTGTCCTAACACAATACTTTTTGTTTTTTGACACATCTGGCTTTGTTCAGGGCTCAATCTGGTTCTGTACCCAGAACTCACTCCTAGCGCTGTTCTAGGGCTCACTACTAGCTCTGTACTCAGGGCTCACTCCTGGCTCAGTACTCAGGGCTAACTACTGGATCTGTACTTGGCACTCACTCCTGAAGATGTTCAGGGAACCATATGCTGTGCCAGATATTGAATCCAGATCAGCTACATATAATGTAAGAACCTTAGCCAGTGAACTATCGCTACAGCCCGGAATTATGATTGTGCTAGGCTAAAATACAATCATGCCATCAGGATATATAATACTTGTAGAAAAAGTTTTTAATTGGTAATACCACCATTTTTTCTATTTTCTATTTCACCATCAACTATAAATACTCAAGATTCTTAGCAGCTAAACTAACTCAAAACTTCTAATATACTAACAGACTGTTACATTAGAAATCCTAATATTAAACAGTCTTAACTCATTTGGCTTAAAAGGTAGTTCCAGGCCTCTTTTACTTAAGTACAAGAGGTTTTTTTCTCCTTCGCCTCGCTGGTTTGGTTTTTTGGATGGTACTGAGGGCTTACTCCTGGTTCTGCTTTCAGGGATCACTCCTGTAGGGCTTTGTGGAACATAAGAGGTGCCAAGGATCAAACCCAGGTCAGCTGCTTGCAAGGCACACAGTCTACCTGCTGTACTAGCTCTCCTGTCTCCTAGTACAATAGCAAAATAACTGGTTTTCAGTAGGAAGCTTACCACTGGGGCAAGACTTAGGGTAGAAATTAGGAAAAGTAACACTTGGGGAACCACATACGGGATATGTGCCTGCCAGAGGCAGGCTGGGGGTCAGGAGGGAAACTGGGAATATTGGTAGAGGATAGTGGAAACCAGCAAAGAGAATGGTGTTGGAAAATAGTACGTCTGACACTCAATCACAAATATCTTTGTAACTTTGTAATTCACAGTGATTCAATAAACATCAAAGAATTCTAAAAATAGATTGGAAAACATACCTTCTTTAAAAAATATTTAAAAATAGCGTTTCAAAGCATTGCATTACTCATTTTGTTTGTATCTGGGTAGAAAAGAATGATAAAGTGAAAAAAAGAACTAGATTTGGAATCAGAATTTGCAGTGCAACATTGACATTTAAACTTATGGGCATCAGTATCAAAATTGGTAAAATAAAAATACCTACTGTATTGACCAAATTAATTTATGTGAAAAAAGCTTTGGTAAAATGCTATGTGTGCAATTATGAATTATTATTGTTATAACTTTATGTATAGCTCATTCATTAGATAGAATTAGTTTATACAGAATGTTGGATACTTTTAAGAAATGTACTGGTTATATTTTTTTAATTTTTCTGGATTATTTGTAGAGTTCAAATTTGAATAGGACAGCATAAAATTTTGTGACCAGAATGTTTATTTGGAATCATGGCTTCTTAAACACTATGAACTCAGGTTAACAGCAAAATTGCACAAATGAAAAGTTAAAGACAATTCAGTCGGGACTGGAGCAATAGCACAGTGGATAGGGCATTTGCCTTGCATGTGGCCAACTCGGATTCGATGCCCAGCATCCCATAGAGTCCCCTGAGCACTGCCAGTGGTAATTCCTGAGTGCATGAGCCAGGAGTAATCCCTGTGCATCGCCAGGTGTGATCCAAAGAGCAGAAAAAAAGATAATTCAATCATGATATTCCACGAACATCTAAATAGAATAGTTATAAAATAAGTTATTCATATCTGTTTCAATTTATTCGAGCAAACTATAATGACCAAAAGTAGAGAGAGAGTATGGGGGAAATTATCTGCCATAAAGTTAGGGTGAGGATTGTGATGGGGGTGGGATACCAGGAACATTGGTGATAGAATATGTGCACTGGTGGAGGGATGGGTGTTTGCTCCTTATATGGCTGAAGTTCAAACATAAAAATCTTTGTTAACTGTATCTAACGGTGATCCAATTAAAAAGAATAAAATCACTTTATAATATGGTAACTCTCTTTGCAATTTTTGAGAAGTCTCCATATTGTTTTCCATAGATATTGAGACAATATTCTCAACAACCATAAATGTGGATCCCTTTTTCACGGCAGCCCCGCCACAACTCGAGACTTCTGATATATGTCATTTCACCAGTGTGAGCTAATACCTCATTGTTCTTAGTTGCATTTTTCAGATAACAAGTGATGATGATATTTTTCAAATGCCTGTTTAGTATTTGTGTGTCTTCTTTGAGGAAGTATCTATCTGCACATTTTTTAATTAAGACTTGATTCTAGTTGAGGTTTTGAGCTACTTTATTTATCTTGGCTATTAGCCCTTTTTCAGATTAGACATTCGCAATTTTTAAAATATTTCCTTTTCCAGAGCGATACTACAATGGGTAGTGTGTTTCACTTGCACTTGGCCGACCTGGGTTCTATCCCCAGCATCCTATATGCCCCCCCCCCTCCGAGCACTGCCAGAAGTAATTCCTGAGTATAGAGCCAGGAGCAAACCCTGAGAATCGCCAAGGTGTGACCCAAAAGCCAAAAAATTGGCTTTCAGATCACACCCAGCTCTTCTCAGAACTTACTCCTAGCTGTATTCTCAGGGATAATTCATGACAGTACTCAGGAGATGATATATGATTCCAGGTGACTTGCAAATGTTTTCTATAATTCTATAGGATATCTTCTTATTTTATCCATCATATAGGATATTCAATCCATCATGTAGGATATCTTCTTATTTTATCCATCATATATTTTACAGTAAAGAAACTTTTAGTTGTATGCCGCAGCATTTTTGTACTTTTGCCTTTGTATTCATTGCCAGTGTGGTTGAGTCACTGAACACACCCCTAAAGTCAATAAGATAGAAGGTTTTACTTATGTTTTCCTCAATATATTTATTTTGGAATTGATTCTGGTATCAAACTCTTTGATACAAACTTAATTAAATTTAAGGTATTAGATGGGGGTACAATTTAATTTTTTGCGTATGGGCAACCAGCTTTCTTGGCACAATTTGTTGTGGAAAAGGGTTTTTTATCTTCTCCACTGAATATAATTAATTTTTCTGTCAAAAATAATGGTCAATATCTCTGAAGTATTATATCTAGGCTCTCAATTATATTTCATTGCTGGGGGCCCTATCTTAATCCACTACCACACTATTTTTCTACTATAGATTTATAATGTAGAAGATCCTGAAATATCACAAAAAATTTTAATAAATAAATCCAGTAAAGTAGCAGTATACATTATGCAAACTCCATGCTTTTATACAGTCAAACGAGTTTGAATCCCTAAAACTATATATGATCCCCGTATGTAATTATAGGGAGTGATCTTAAAGAGTGATTCATATGGACAGAACCAGAACTATTTCCTGAGTACTACTATTGTAGCTCTCGCCCTATAAAAACTTTAAAATTATGCCCAACTATATAAAGTACCTAGAAATTAACATAATCAAGGACATGAAAGTTTTATACTGTGAATTAACAGCACTTTTGAAAGAAATCAAAGAGGATTCAGGAAAAGGAAAAATAATCCATGTCCATGTATTGGAGGAATAAAGATGGTCTGAATGATCATTGTACCAAAATCATTATGTATATTCAATAAAATCTCCATCAAATACCCAATTGCATTTTTAACAAAAATCATTAAAAGTTGTATGAAATCATAAAATTCCATGAATAGCCAAAACAATTGTGATTAAAAAATGACTGGAGGTATTACATTCTCTTATTTTAAAGTATACAGTAAAGTATGGTAATCAAAAGAGTGCTGTCCCTGCCACATGTGCTGAGGGAGAAGGCAGTTGGGATAGAGAAGGGAGCACTAACACAATGATGGCTGGAGGGATCTTTAGGATGGGAGAAGTGTGTTCAAAG